AAGATAAAAGATGAGAGTGCTCGAAACATTATAAACTTAACGAAATCTTGATTTCAATGATTGAGAATGCTGATTCACTTTTAAGCTTCAATGCTATGTATTTTTAATCACACATCTTTCAAAAAATAATATTGCATTTTACAGATTGAAGAGAGATTGAAGTCGCCAGCTATTGGGATGGTTTTGGTAAAAGGAGTAGATGGTTCATTCTATCATCTTCCTCCTTCGAAAGGCTAATAAAGTTAGCCACAATACTTGATATAGGCAATTGTTGGATGAGATCTACTGGATCCAGGGATTGATAGAAATGACTTGTATCAAAATTGTTGGGTTAATATCCAGTACTAGGGCAATCGTTGGTGAGGTATATATATGCTCGTATTTGCTATCGATCATAGCAGTGTAGACATTATGCTTGATGTTATGTTCAACCAAGTAATTAACCATTTTGTTGATAATATTATGAAGAGTTTTGTAAATAGATTACTGGATATTATAACGATATTCATATGGGATGATCCACAATTAAAGTCCTGCACTTAGTTGAGTGTATGACTAGGCTCAAGCATGTCGCGAATGTTAGTTTTGGTGTTGTTTATCTTATTTTGAAAACTGTAATTGCTATACTAACATTTCTACTTGGAAATGCACTCGTGTTGGATGAAATGGCGATCCTCGCCAATGGACCAAAATCTGTTGAAAAGTGGATCCCTGCAAACTGTTTGAGCAGCCCGAGTTGTTCTAAACCTCCGTAGAGCTTCTCGAAATGCTGAAGTTGTGTTTGACTACCCTTTCCGGGGAAATTTTTCCGAAATCATGTTTAGATCTTAACTTTTTGTTCAATCTCATGATGTGTTGTTGTTCATCATGTGTATGTTCAAATAGTGTTCCAGCAGTTTGTCAGACATATACTATGTGGATCTTTGAATTGTGTTTCTTCCTGTTGGTTTTCATTTCATAATAGGTTTAGTTTCCTCTTCAAGATAGATGTATTAAAGGCAATGACTATCATGCATGCCTTTTCTGATCCCTGATGGCTCTTTTCACCAATACAAGATAAAAGAGATTATAGATAATTCTTAGCAGAAAAGCTCCAGTGGTTACTGAAACATAATCACCCCTTGTTAGATCCACTCAAATTACACTTGAAGAAACTGTGACATTACACTGGATCTCACGAATATTTCTGCGACATTATTTTAGATAGATTAGTGTGCTTTGTATCTCATTGAATCAAACCATATGTGAGTGGAACAACCTTGCTTTACAAGCTCCAGTAAAATCAGATCATCTAGCTTTAAATCCCCCGGTTGCAACCAAATGGAACTGCAAGAAACAATAGTAGCAGGAGTTTTCTTCTCTTTGTACAATTTACATCTTACATCACTTTTGATGGCCAATAAAACCTGTACACTAGAAACACTTTGCACAGAATGAATTTTGTCGTTCCTGGCTTGCCAAACTTGACTTGCTTTTGAAGTGCATAGAAGACTATTCCAGCTCAACTTTCCAAGTATCAATTGTTCTCTGTATGTGGCATAGATGAAGAATCTTCAGCCAAATAACCCTTGGAAAGGGGCATTCCACGAAGCCATTCCATCCTTAGTAGGCTACCTGTTAATGGATCACAAGCCGAGAGATAAAGGAGTGATTGGGTATATTCCAGGGAAACTGAAGCGATTCCATTTTACTTGGTCTCTTTTAAGTATCAGCTAATTCCATGCACTATTAACAAAGAATGCCCCATCTCTAGCTGAAATCCATACAACTCGATCAGTAGCATTATTAGGAAATAGGACACCACGGAAGCATATTGGACAATCGATAAGATCTAGACTTTGGCCAAGCCCAGTCCGTGTTTCTGATGACAGTAACTTCAGCATGGAAAGGCATAGCTGCAGCATGAACGAGTCTTCTCCCAAACACCTCCACTAAAGAACCTGCTGGATGCCAACACTCATGCCAAAGAAATGTATTTTCACCATTGCTCAATAATGTGTTTCGTCAAAGGCGGTGCCAAATGCCTGAATTTCAAAATTGCTCTCCAAGCATATGAGGCAAAGGTTGATGTGGGGATAGTCCAAAGGTTCCTCCCTCTGAACTTATAAGCATCAATCAAGGCTGCCCACCGAAGCCTGCTTTTATCATGATCAGCCCCATATATCTACAAATGCAAGCCATATGCGAGTGCACAAGCCTCTTTAAATCCAAGCCACCTTCTTTCTTAGGAAAACAAACCATCTCCCAGCTAATTCTGGCCCCTCAAATATGAGTAGCAGACCATGGGAAATACATTTTTGCACAACTTCATTGATCACTTTGATTAGCAAAACAAAAACATTACACCAGTAACTGGATATGCTAAGCAATGCTGAGGAAATTAATCGAAGCCTTCCTGCAAATGACATAGCTTTTGAGAAGGCCAGCTAGTGATTCTCTGCAAAATATTATCTAACATAGGTTTACAATCAGTTGCAGCTAGCTTGCCTGAAACAAGAGGGACCCCAAGACAGGCAAAGAACCTTGCTCAAATCCAGTGATTATTTGCTATTGAATCTGCAGTTAAACCTCCTGAATATAACTCAGTCTTCATGGGATTAAGTTTCAGTCCTGACAGCTGGTACAACTTCTCATATATCTGCAAAACCACACAAAGATCCTCAACGTTCCCACCCTAAAATATAACAAGGTCATCTCCAAAACTTAAATGGTGAGCTTGATCTCCCTACACAGAGGATGACAATGAATTTTCCCTGCAGCTGCAGCATCAGTCAACAAGCACAAGAATACTTGCATAGCCATGACAAAAAGATAAAGAAACAAGGGATCTCCTTGTCTACACCCTTTCTTTTCAGGGAAATAACCTTCCGAAGAACCATTAAGAGCAATAGAAACATGGGATTTGTCACACAAGCCGAATCCAACTTACAAAGTTGCAGCCTGCCAATGGCCTTTAAGACATTAAGAATAAAATCCCAATTCACAGAGTCGAAAGCCTTCATAATATCAGCTTTAACAAAGCATCTAATTGAAACTCCGCTTATATGATAGCGCTTCACAATTTCATGGGTTAAAGGAATTTTATCTGCAATGTTTCTCCCTTCAATGAAAGCACTCTGATTGGGATGAATAAATGAAGGCGAATCCTCCTCAGTCTCAGAGAAAGTATCTTGGTGATGCAATTATAGACCACATCACATAAAATTGGTCTAAATTCAGACATCCTTGAAGGATGGGAACTTTTGTCACTAATGCTATTGTTTTTGCATTAATAGCCCCAAGAAACCTGGACGAAGAGAAAAAATGAAGTATGACCATAGTAACATCAGCACCAACAGTTCCAGGCTCTTCTGAAGAAGCAAGAAGTGTTTAGTCAGGTGCTCTCTCTTCTCCTGTTTAATAGACCAAATTGGGTCTTTAACATCAGCAGTTGTAACAGGGATCAGTCCTGCAAAGATGACCCAGCATCATACTGGATAGAAAGAATTTCAAGATGGATCTCAACTCTTCCTCTAAACCAGCATTATACTGGGGATCAGTCCTACAAAGATGACCCTTATAGAAAGAAATTACTTCCTCTTTAATATCATCATACTTTTTCCAAGTCTCTCACAAGGACAATTATATAGCACTCTTACAGTTTCTTTGCAATTTCTTGCTCTAACAACTCGAAAAAAGTAGTTAGAGTACTGCTCTAACAACCCTTATGGATTTTTGCTTTAAAAAACCTTCTTCAGCAGCTTTAAGATCAGCTAGTACTGCAGCCAGTTTCCTTTCCTCTCTCTACAAGTCATCTGTGGCAACATTAAGCAATTGGCATTGCGCATGCCTCAGTCAGATTTCTGTAACATTCTTTCACTTCATTCTTGTCAACTAAAATCTACGGTAGAAAAATGTCTATGGTATTTATAAATGGGACTGATGGCAAATTATTCCTGATTGATCGCTTGGTGTTGCAGATTTTTCTGCACTCAAGAATTTGTGTCTCCCACCATTTCAGCATGCAAAGCTTCTTTCTCCAGTTGGAGTATAATTGAAATCACGAAAGACCAGTTAATTAAAGTTTCTGCTCGGACATGCATGTGTAACCACAAGATCTTGAGGTAGTTTATTCATGCAATTTGCTTGAAGTGGCCAGATGACTTCAAAGTTATCATAGAGCTTCTAAGCGTGTTGTGGTAATACTTGATTATTAGGAAGAAGGGCACGGAAAGCGGCCTAAGAAAGGAGTTAGAGTAACAACATAATAGGGAAAAGTGTTGAGAAAAATCTTAAACATATTATATTTGTGCCAATTTAGTCTTAAACATTTTGACAAAGTGTCAATTCAATTCTTTCGGATAATGTTGGCCAGATATTGCTGACGTGGACGTCGGCCGGCCTACATGATACCGTCGTCGTTGACGTGGACAATTTATAATAATATTTTAATATTTTTTTTTATTTTTTCTCTTTCTTCCTCCTTTTGCTAGTGGCTGGCGATGGCCGGGCGGGCTGGCTGGCCTCGACTAGGCGAGGGTCGCCGTGGACCACCACAGGCGAGGCTCGACCAGGCGAGGGTCGGCCTTTGCTAAGCCAAATCTGGCTAGGCCGACCCTCGCCCAAGCCAAGGCGACCTCACTAGGCATCGCCCACGCCAAGGTCAAAAAATGATGTAGGAGTTGCGTTAAGAGTAATGACAAAGTCGAAAAATAATTTTTATGTTGTAAATAACAATATGCTCATATTCGGAAAAAAAAAATCCAAAATGGGAAAATAACTAAATCGAAGGAAATTGTCCCAACAAGGAAAATCATAGTGAGAACGGAGGGGATTAAATCATATGCGATATGGAAATATCCATATCCTTTTAAATACATTATGTACAACATACACTAGATAAAAATTGAATTTTTAACAGGGGGATTTGAAAGGACAAAGGAATTTTAGGAGTTAAAAATCTCGAACATCCTCCGGTGTTCGTCACCTAAAGAAGCAAAAATCTTTCACCGGAAAGAGAAGGAAAAAGAAAACCCCTAGAATCCCCCGTTCGTAAAGCCATGGCGGGTACCGAGGATTACGTCAGCCTGTTGCCCGATGACGCAATCGAGCACATCTTCTCCTTCTTGCCCACGAGGGACGCCGTCCGGACGTGCGTCCTGTCGAGGCGGTGGCGGTCCGCCTGGACCACCGCCGTCCCGGACCTCGGGTTCTCCGTCTCCTCGCACGGCGGCGGCGACGGCGGCTCGTTCGTGGACAGGGTCCTGGCGCTGTACGGGAGGAGCAAGGTGAGGAAGTTCCATCTCGACATCATGGCAAAGCACTTCTGCCGCTCCAAGATCGATTCATGGGTTCGGTTCGCGATTGATCATGGGGTGGAAGAGCTTCGTGTCGACTTGAATACTTGGTGGCCGTATTACCCATTGTCTCCATCGCTTTATAATTGCTCCTCGTTGACTCGGCTGTTCTTGAGAGGCTGTCGTTTCACGTCCTGCGAGAGCGTTAGTTGGAGTTCGCTCAAGTCCTTGTCCGTTGGAAGTGTGAGTGATGATGTGCTCCGGAAGATTTTGATGGGCAGCCCTGTTCTTGAATGCTTGGCTTTGAAAGGCTGCCGGGGTTTAAAGAGAATTCATTCGAGTAGTTTGAGAGAGTTGGTGATCGATGATGCTGTCGCGAAATCCCCTTTGCACATTTCGACTCCGCGGTTACTGTCACTGCGTGTGAGGGGGCATTGTTGTTTTGGGGCAATAGGAATTGTTGAAGCACCATCCTTAGTTGAAGCAGAATTAGATTTCGACGGTCCGATCAAATACGATTTCAACGGTCCAACCAAATCGGATTTCCGCCTGCTGAAGGAAATCCTTTGCAAGCTGCAGAATGCTACTCGAATTCTTTTCGGTTCTTGGTGCTTTCGGGTGAGAATAGTCATCTCGCTTCCTAATGGACTTTATCTTTTCCATGTAGCTTTTCACTTAGGATAGTGGACATTAATCTGCCAATGCTTGTGGACGTTTAGTGGTTATATTGTTGAATTTTCTATGAGGAAAAAAGTACTGGATTGTGATGTACTTGAGAGAAGTTTGATCTATGTTTTATCATTTTAAGCTATACTTTGTTGACATAACAAATACAAGGATGTGACCCCAAACTTTTTTCTTGGTGATCTGACTTTACCTTTTGACATGGTTAGGTTATGCGGCCTCTGAAGGTAGAAGACGTGCAGGTTTCGCTGCCGAATTGCAAGTCTCTGACCCTACACATGCTCATTTGCGAATTCAGCTTTCCTGCCATAGCAAATATGCTAGCAACTACACCAAATTTGGAGAAGCTGATTATAATTTTTAAGCCATATGATCTGTTCTGGGTATATTCCCTAAACTCTAATTCACAAGTTAAGAATTCAATTCTGATTAACTGGGACGTACCATTCAAAGTCTCTCCCTTCTTTCGTTTCCTTGAGTCCATCAATTAGTGAAACTAGTATAATGCTCTGGAAGTTTCAAGACTGTCACCGCCTATGTTTCAAATGCTCCGAAAGTTTCACAACAGTCTCTTGGATTCTTGTTTCTTCTCTGTCTCTCTCTCTCTGTGAATGCCACTGTAACGGTGACAATTAGAAGATTGCGCTTGCATTAATGAACTTGGGTGCCTGAATTTTGGTCTCCCTCATTCATGATTTCCTCTGATCTGATTACTAAATACATTTGACAAGGGATGATTATTCTTTCGGGTTATTAAGATATTAGAGTGTGGAAACTAAATCGTGTTTTTTATTTGGAAAGTTCACTATGTCTTTTATCCGTGTGCAGAATTCGTCTAACTTATACTCCTGCAATGTTGATCATGAGAGCTATTGGCATATGAAGAAGAAGTTCAAGCGCTGGGCTCGGCATCTAAAGAATGTTGAGATTTTTGGATTTTATGATTGCTTAAGATTCAAATACGAGGAAGTGCTCATGCTGGTAAAGTTTCTTCTCGGACATGCCTCTTTGCTGGAAAATATAGTCATCAAAGTTATAAATGGATCACGACACCTTGAGGTAGTCGGTTCACACAGGTTGTATGAACTGGCCCGATTGCATCAACTGGCCCGTCGACTTCAATGTTATCGCAGTGCCTCTAAGCATGCTGCGGTTATACTAAATTATCTGGAAGAAGAGCATGGAAAGCAGCAGATGAAAGGAGTTAGAATAACAACAAAATGTATGCGCATTGGCCATAAGGATGCCTGATTGGACTAGGAATACTGTAAGCTACAACATCAACTAGTCTGTTGCTGGTATTGTCTCATGGAAGTTTTTCAGCGATTTAAAGCAAGTTATGATATAGTATTTTGCTTCGGAATTGTTTTACAAGGTTGAGCAATGTGTTGCCGTAGCTTGTCCTTCCGTAGCCCTTGATCCAGGAGGGAAGTCCCTATTCAAATAAGTTATGCTGTTCTAAGAAATCCATCTTCATTCAATGATGGTGACAACCCGAACTTGGCCTTTGTCATGTCATTACCATGTGTATCCTATTGACCAAAGACAGAAAACACAACTCAAATAATGGAATTTATATCCCTAAAACTCCCATAGCTTTCGGACCTTTTTCCAGAAGAGGGCATTTGTTATCTTGTTTACTTTATGAGAGCATTTCTTGTTATGTACACATCCGGGTGGCTTTTTTTTTTATTTTTTTTAAAATTTTTGACATTTCAAAATTCAGGGGAAAACCTGAAAACTTTGCCTTTTTAATAGCGTAATGAGTAGAATGTTAAAATTATAGCACAGGGATCAAAGTAGCTATGTAAAATTTGAGTCTATCAAATAAGAAAGATAAAAGATGAGAGTGCTCGAAACATTATAAACTTAACGAAATCTTGATTTCAATGATTGGGTACACTGATTCACTTTTAAGCTTCAATACTATGTATTTTTTAGTCACACATCTTTTGACTCAAAAAAATATTGCATTTTACAGGTTGAAGAGAGATTGAAGTCGCCAGCTATTGGGATGGTTTGGTAAAAGGAGTAGATGGCTCATTCTATCATCTTCCTTGTTCAAAGGCTAATAAAGTTAGCCGCAATACATGATATAGGCAATTGTTGGATGAGAAATACTGGATCCAGGTATTATTAGAAATGACTTGTATTAAAATTGTTGGGTTAATATCTAGTACTAATGCAATCGATGGTGAGGTATATATATGCAGTGTAGACATTATGCTTGATGTTATGTTCAACCAAGTAATTAACCATTTTGTTGATAATATTATGAAGAGTTTTGTAAATAGATCACCGGATATTATAACAACATTCATATGGGATGATCAACAATTAAAGTCGTGCACTTAGTTGAGTGTATGACTAGGCTCAAGCATGTCGCGATTGTTAGTTTTGGTGTCATTTATCTTATTTTGAAAACTGTAATTGCTATACTAACATTTCTACTAGAAAATGCACTCGTGTTGGATAAAATGGCGATCCTCGCCAATGGACCAAAATCTGTTGAAAAGTGGATCCCTGCAAACTGTTTGAGCAGCCCAAGTTTTTCTAAACCTCCATAGAGCTTCTCAAAATGCTGAAGTTGTTTTTGACTTCCAGGGAAATCCTTCCAAAATCATGTTTAGATATTAACTTTTTGTTCAATCTCATGATGTGTTGTTGTTCATCATGTGTATGTTCTAATAGTGTTCCAGCAGTTTGTCAGACATATACTATGTGGATGTTTGAATTGTGTTTCTTCCTGTTGGTTTTCATTTCATGATAGTTTAGTTTACTCTTCGAGATAGATGTATTAAAGGCAATGACTATCATGCATGCCTTTTCTGATCCCTGATGGCTCTTTTCACCAATACAAGATAACAGAGATTATAGATAATTCTTAGCAGAAAAGCTCCAGTGGATACTGAAACATAATCACCTATAGTTATCTTGTTAGATTCCACTCAAATTACATTTGAAGAAACTGTGACATTACACTAGATCTCACGAATATTTCTGTGACATTTTTTTAGATATTGTATCTCATTGAATCAAACTTGATGTGAGTGGCACAACCTCGCTTTAAAAGCTCCAGTAAAAATCAGATCATCTAGCTTCAAATTCCCCCATTTACAACCAAATGGAACTGCAAGAAACAATAGTAGCAGCAGTTTTCTTGTCTTTGTACAATTTACATCTTACATCACTTTTTATGGCAAGTAAAACCTGCACTCTAGAAACACTTTGCACAGAATGAATTTTGTTGTTCCTGGCTCGCCAAACTTGACTTGCTTTTGAAGTGCATAGAAGCCTATTCCAGCTCAACATTCCAAGTATCAATTGTTCTATGTATGTCGCATAGATGAAGAATCTTCTGCCAAATAACCCTGGCAAAGGGGCATTCCATGAAGCCATTCCATCCTTAGTAGGCTACCTGTTATGATCACAAGCCGATAGATAAAGGAGTGATTGGGTATATTCAAACGAAACCGAAGCAAGTGACTCCATTTTACTGGGTCTCTTTGAACACTCAGCTCATTCCATGCACTATTAACAAAGAATGCCCCATCTCTAGCTGAAATTGCAACAACTTGATCAGTAGCATTATTAGGAAATAGGACACCACAGATAGCAGATTGGACAATCGCTAATTCCTCAGATCTAGACTTTGGCCAAGCGCAGTCCGTGTTTCTGATGACAGGAGACACTTCAGCATGGGAAGGCAGAGCTGCAGCATGAACGAGTCTTCTCCCAAACACCTCCACTAAAGAACCTGCTGGATGCCAACAGTCATGCCAAAGAAATGTATTTTCACCATTGCGCAATAATGTGTTTGGTCAAAGGCCGGACCAAATGCCTGAGTTTCAAAATTGCTCTCCAAGCATACGAGGCAAAGGTCGATATGGGGATAGTCCAAAGGATCCTCCCTCTCAACTTGTAAGCATCAACCCAGGCTATCAACCGAAGCCTGCCTTTATCATGATCAGCCACATATATCTCAAAATGCAAGCCATATTGGAGTGCACGAGCCTCTTTAAATCCAAGTCACTTTCTTTCATAGGAAAACAAACTATCTCCCAGCTAATTCTGGCCCCTCGAGCATGAGTAGCTAACCATGGAAAATACATTTCTGCACAACTTATTGATCACTTTTCTTAGCAAAACAAAAACATTACACCAAGAATTGGGATGAATGAAGGAAGGCAAAATCCTCCTCAGTATCTTGGTGATGCAATTATAGACCACATCACAAAATTGGTCTAAACTCAGACATCCTTGAAGGATGGAAACTTTTGGCACTAATGTCATTGTTTTTGCACTAATAGCGCCAAGAAACCCGGAAGAAGAGAAAAAATGAAGCATAACCCTAGTAACATCAGCACCAACAAATTCCAGGCTCTTTTGAAGAAGCAAGAAGTGTATTAATCAGGTGCAGGACTCTTGTCCTTTTTAAGCTTCCTCGTATATCTGCAAAACCACACGAAGATCCTCAACCTTCCCACCCTGAAATACAACAAGGTCATCTGCAAAACTTAAATGGTGAGCTTGATCTCCTTACACAAAGGATGACAATGAATATTCCCTGCAGCTGCACATCAGTCAACAAGCATGAGAGTGCTTGTGCATAGCCATGACAAAAAGATAAAGAAACAAGGGATCTCCTTGTCTACGCCCTTTCTTTTCAGGAAAATAACCTTCCAAAGAACCATTAAGAGCAATAGAAACATGGGATTTGTCACACAAGCCAAATCCAACTTACAAAGTTGCAGCCTGCCAATGGCCTTTAAGAAATTAAGAATAAAATCCCAATTCACAGAGTCGAAAGCCTTCATAATATCAGCTTTAACAAAGCATCTAATTGAAACTCCGCTTATATGATAGCACTTCACAATTTCATGGGTTAAAGGAATTTTATCTGCAATGTTTCTCCCTTCGATGAAAGCACTCTGATTGGGATGAACAAATGAAGGAGAAATCGTCCTCAGTCTCGGGGAAAGTATCTTGGTGATGCAATTATAGACCAAATCACATAAAATTGGTCTAAATTCAGACATCCTTGAAGGATGGGAACTTTTGTCACTAATGTCATTGTTTTTGCATTAATAGTCCCAAGAAACCAGGAAGAAGAGAAAAATGAAGCATGACCCTAGTAACATCAGCACCAACATATTCCAGGCTCTTTTGAAGAAGCAAGAAGTGTTTGATCAGGTCCAGGACTCTTGTCCTGTTTGATAGACCAAATTGCGTCTTTAACATCAGCAGCTGTAACAGGGGATATAGGAGTAGCAATATCCTCCTGCATAGAGATTATTTCAAGATGGATCTCAACTCTTTCTCTGAACCAGCATTATAATGAGGATCAGTCCTACAAAGATGACCCTTATAGAAAGAAATTGCTTCCTCTTTAATATCATCATACTTTTTCAAGTCTCACCAAGACAATTATATAGCACTCTTACAGCGTTCTTTGCAATTTCTTGCTCTAACAACTCAAAATAAGTAGCCAGAGTAAGTATAACCCAATTTAATCCGGGATATCCTGGATTTTTGCTTTAAGAAACCTTCTTCAGCAGCTTTAAGATCAGCTAGTACTGCAGCAAGTGTCCTTTCCTTCTCTCTTTGAGTCATCTGTGGCAACATTAAGCAATTGACATTGTGCATGCCTCGGTCAGATTTCTGTAACATTCTTTCACTTCATTCTTGTCAACTAAAATCTACGGTAGAAAAATGTCTATGGTATTTTTTTTTTGACATCCGTCTATGGTATTTATACATGTGACCGATGGAAAATTATTCCTGACCGATTGCTTAGTGTTGCAGATTTTTTTGCACTCAAGAATTTGTGTCTCCCCCCATTTTAGTATGCAAAGCATCTTTCTCCAATAGGAGTATAATTGCAACCATGAAAGATCACTTCATTAAAGTTTTTGCTCGGACATTCATATGTTCCAGGAAATACAGTCATCAAAGTTAAGAATCATAAATCACAACAAGATCTTGTGGTAGTCTATTCATGCAAATTGCTTGAAGTGGCCAGATGACTTCAAAGTTACCATAAAGCTTCTAAGCATGCTGAGGTAATACTGGATTATCAGGAAGAAGGGCACGGAAAGCGGCAGAAGAAAGGAGTTAGAGTAACATAATGTATGCACATCGGCCATAAGGATGCTCGACTGGAATAGGAATACTATCAGCCACAACATCAACTAGCTTGATTTGTTGTTGGTAATGTCCCATGTAGGATTTTCAATGTTTTAAAGCGAGTTCTGGGATTGTATTTTGTTTCAAAATTGTTTTTATATCCACCTCCCTAAAGCATTTTCATGGCGGTAAATAAACGTTCTCTAGATTAATTGCTATAATAAATATAAAAAAAGTAATCCATGTATAGACTAAAATTGTAAATGGATTTAATTTTCCGGCTGATGAACTTACATTGCATTAGAAGACCATATCCATCTATATAGTGAAAATATGGCTTTTATATTGCAAGATATATATAGTGTAAAATTATTTATTTATTGACAAATTCATGTAAAATGTGAATGAAACTCATAGACCTAATATATGTGCATCTTTGAATTTTTTTAATCAATTAGATCAGATGGAATTTATTGAAATTCAACTTCATATCTATTTACTGTTGGATAGGTTTGTACATAATATTTAGGAGGCTATACTTTTAATATTTATTAATTAAGTTGAGACCAGAATTTTTAGCTTTTATTTTTTGTCATTAATAGAGTATACTTCACTGTATTTTTACATTTTCCAATATTACTTAGGATTTTCATTCCCCTTTTGAGTTTGTATTTATGGTACTTTTCCAAAAAATAGTTCTGTAGTAATGATGTGCATGACAGCAATTCTTCTTTTATTGGGCCTAAAAGAGCTTTTCTTTTTTACTTAAGGCCTGATTTTTTACTCTTAGGCCACAAGATTACCTCTTACATTCCTTCATAGTACAACATGGTGGGTAAATTACATCTAAAACCAGCATATCCTTTAATTGATTAAAAAGATTATGAGGATTACATTAATCTCTTGCTCGATTGCCTAATCCATTGCATTTTCGCTTTTTTTGGCCCACGAGGGATGTCGTCGAAAACTCGCATTCTATCGAAAACGTGAAGCTGGACCTCGTCTATCTTGGTCTTAGGTTCTCCGTCTAAGTAAAGGTGTTATCTGACCAAAAAAAAAAATATGGGTATCAAAATAGGTAGGATTAATACCACGAAAAACCCTAAACTAGTACACCTGTAACAAATTTACCTTCCGTTAGTTTCCGTTAAATTTTGCCATCAAATTGCTGAGTTGAATTACATGCAATTGACGGGTATATCAATTTAGGGTTTATCATTAAATCAAATTTAATGAAAACTAACGGAGAGTAAATTTGTAACAATGTACCGGTTTGGAGTTTTTTGTGATAAAAAAATTATTTTGGGTAAATAAGTCACATGTGCATCAATTCAAAGTTTTTTATGATCAAAAAATTAATTTGAAGTAAATTTGTTACCAATTTTAAATTTTTTGTGATATTAATCAAAATAGGTAAAAGATTCATTTTTTAATTCATATTTAGTCATTTGGATTAATATATTGGTGAGTTAAAACTTTGAAAATGAGTTGACATACTCATCATTCACTCTCCCACTTGCCACCGCCACCGCCACCGCCGCTTTCCGGCGCTCTGTCCTCCACTTCTCCACCACTTAAACAGAGCCAGAGCCAAAGCCTGAGCCTGCGTAACTCCGTCGCGCCTCGCCGAGAACCGCCACAACCGCGACGTTTCTCCGCCCCTTCCCTCTCTCTCTGTCTCCACCGCCGTCGCACCACCTCTCTATCGCCGGAGATCCCCACGAGCTAAAGACATGCGGAAGATTTCGGCCCACTCTCTCTGCGACTTAATTTGAACATACCCACTTCGCTCTCGCTCCTCCGAACCGCGTTCTCTCGGACTCTTACCCAATTTCGCCTCTTACCATTTAGCTGGGACCACGTTCGACGCCAACCATGGCCCTGTGACGATCCGGGAAGGCCTGTTTTGGATTCTACCTTTGGAAATGCATTGGGGGGTCAGGTGTTTGATGAAATGCCTCTGTGAGCGTGCACTTCAGGGAGATCATGAAATATATACAGATATTTACACTGCGTCTTTCATCTTTTAATCTTTCTTCCTCTTAGTACTTGGATCAAGTGGGGATTTTAAAATTCGGGAATGCTAAAGAATATGCGTTTACCACGAATAGAATATGGGAGAACTTCTTCGTGATTAAGGAAGGTTTGATTGTGGGTGAAGGATTGGGATTTGCAAGATTCTTTTTTCGTTGTTGACTATGTCAATGTGGGAAATTTCCATCTAATTGAGTTTTATGTATAAGTCAACCGATTCTGGAATCTTGTTCTTCCCCAGATTGAACAAACAAGTTGCTCTGCAGCTTTCACGTACCAAGAAGAGGTTGGGCCTGCCGTTTGGTCTTCTTGGTCGTATTATAGGAATCATCAAAGAGTTTCAGATGCTCAAGAGCTTCTCGAGATGTCAGTTTAGAGGTCTTCATGCAAAGGTGAGCCTCATATGGAGTAGTTGTTTGTTTATACCAAAGGGAACGGTAGATTGCCTTGGTCAACTGCAATTGGTGACTATTCATCGAATTTATTCAGCAGTTGATTCCTTTCCATCATCAGTGTGCTTTTCTGTGTTTCATCTGGACACAGAAAGTCCTCTGTGAAACTTGACTGATCATGAATTATTAGCTATCCAGGAGTCACATTCTTTTTCTATGTACAGTCAACAAAATGCTTGCTGAAGAACAAAAACTGTTACTAACATTTGTAAACCCCATGTTGGTGCTGTGATCTTGAATTTGATGATCAAATTGTGCTTGTTGTAGTGGTTGTTGATGCATCCTATGTTGCTTACTGTTGATCTGATGATGAGCATGAGCTCTGTTGTTGTTTGGGGACATTCAGCTTCTCACCGTCAATCTCTTTGTACTGTCCCCAGGGACTCACTCCCCTTGTGGATGAGGGAATTGACTGTCCTGACCCCATCTTTTATGTGTATTTTGCTTGCCCCCGTTGGAATCTCATCCTTGCTCAACTAGGTTTTTTTTTTAATACCTTTTTTATACATGAATAGCTAAAAAGGACCCTTCTTTTATTTTAGAAATGGTAGTAGCATCCCTTATATCTGTAGATAATCTTGTTCTTCCTTTGTTGGTATTTGGTACATTTTCTTATTTTCCCTCTTAATCTTAGATGATGGGCTTTAGATCAAACTTCTAGCACCACGCAAAATAACAGGATATGTGTTCTAGTATCGTCAAATTTTTTTGTTATTTGTTATTTGCTAAATGTTTAATTTTTTTTTAATTGTTTACTTTTGTTCTCAGTATGTTATTTACCGTATGTAAGGGCACAAATTGCTAAGAGTTGGAGTCTAGTTGGGTCTAGGTTGGGTCGGGTATGGGTCGCCAAGCTTGTATTACATAAAAATGGGTCAATTTTGGTCAAATTCATTTTCAACCCACCCAAACCTGATGTGATCTACCCATTTGACAGGTTTACTTACTAGCTAGTTTTGTTCTTAGAGTTAAATTTGGAGCCCTAGCTGTGTCAACATTTCCGGTGATGCTCCGACCAAGTCCGAGTTGTCCAATAGTGATAATTTGGTCACTTACATCCCTACAAACAGGTAGTATTTTACTAATCACGACTTAGGCTTCTCGTGAGATATTGATTTTTGGAAGTTCTCGGAAACTGCTATACAGTTCTTGCAACCAGCAGTGTTCTGTGCCAAATTTCGTTAGTTGCTGGCCAGATGATGGGTTGGAGAGCTTTGGATCTTCTGGTACTTCGAAAGAGCCCTGTAAACTCACCTGAAACGGAATTTGGTAGAGAGAGAAATGATGCACCAAAATTTGCCATGCAAGATGAGCTTGCTGCTCTGTTCACTGTAGCGAGTTTAATGTGGCCTTTTTGTCGACCCATAGTGGACATTTTGACCCTAAAAATAGCGTTGCCTAGTAAAGTCTTAATGGAGATTAGTTTGCATGCAAATTTGACCTTCTTTAACGCTTCTTTGATAGGATTTTGAAGCTTTTCGGGCTGTATAGCTTTTAATTTGACTTTCGATTAGTGGTGAGTGATGCTTATCTTTATGATTTGTAAACTCATTTCTTGAAAATGATAGGAATAACATGTGTTATAAGTTATGTAAGAGGCATTGAATGGTTTGATAATTATTGAAACGAAAAAAGTGGTGTTTATAGCATATTTGTTGCGTAAAGCTGGATCAAGGCATTTATTTCCCTTTTGGTTATTTGAAATGGTATAGTTAACTTTTTCTTGAAATAGTTTGGAGTTGATGAAATGGTTTGAAATGCTATATAAAATGTATTCTGCTCAAAAAAGATTTATAAAGCGGTAGTTTGCTCATAACATTCATCTCAATTCTTTCTCAAGTTCTATAGCTGTTGACAAACAGGGCGAGAACCATATCAGCGAGGGACTTTGGGAGTTGGATTTTGGATATCAATATATATATTTGAAATGATATTTGTTGGGTTGAGTTTATTAATCATTTGAGATGTATATATTCTTTTTGGTGGACTTTAAACTCTAATCTTGAGTCATAACCTAACAAAGCAATCTCTCCAATTAGGGTGGTCCATGCTTTACCGAATAGGGCAAAGAAGAAACCCTAGAATCTATTCATAAGCCATGGCAGGTACTTCGACCCAAACCAAGGGCCAAAAAGATAATGAGGATTACATCAGTCTCTTGCCCGATTGCCTAATCCATCATATCTTCTCCTTTTTGCCCATGAAGGACGTCATCAAAACTTGTGTTTTGTCGAAAAGGTGGCAGCCTGTTTGGACCACTGTCTCAGATCTTAGGTTCTCTGTCTCTTCTTACCATGATTCAATTGTGGACAGGGTTTTGACACTCTATGTGGGGCATAAGGCGAAAAAGTTCCACCTTGACGTCAGTTCAGACCAGCAATTCATCAAACCCACTGACATAGATTCTTGGGTTCACTTTGCAATTGATCATCAAGTAGAAGACCTTCTTCTAAATATGAATATCTGATGGTATATGTTGTGGGAGGATTACCCATCGTGGAAGGAGTACCCATTGTCTCCATTGCTTTATAATTGCTCTTCCTTGACTAATCTATGTTTGAGAGGCTGTCGTTTCTCATCCAGCGAAAGTAGTAGTTGGAGTTCGCTTAAGTCCTTGTCCATTGAAAATGTGAGTGATGATGTGCTTCGGAAGATTTTGATGGGCAGCCCTGTTCTTGAATACTTGAATTTGACAAGATGCCACGGTGTAAAAGGAATTCATTCGAGAAGTTTAAGAGAGTTGGTAATTGATACAAATGTCATGGAATCCCCTCTGCACATTTCGACTCCTTTTTTGTTGTCATTGCGTGTGAGAGGGGCTCATTTTGATAGGACAATAAGAATTATTGAAGCACCTTCCTTAGTTGAAGCCGAATTAGATTTTGATGTTTCAGCGAAATCAGATTGCTGCCTGCTAAAGGAAATGCTCAAGCTGCAGAATGCTACTCGAATTCTTTTTGGTGCTTGGTGCCTTCGGGTGAGTATAATCATCTTGCTTCCTAATGGACATTATCTTTTCAATGTAGTTTTTCACTTAGGATATTGTGCATCATTCTACCAAAGCTTATGAATGTTTGGGGGTTATATTGATGGAATTTTCTATGAGAAAAGAAGTACTGGTTTGTTATGTATTTCAGAGAAGTTTAATCTATATTCTATGATTCCAAGTTATATTTTGCTAACATAACAAATACAAAGATGTGACCTTTGCAAACTTTCTTTTGGTGATCTGACTTTACCTTTTGACATGGTTAGGTTATGTGGCCTCGGAAGATAGAAGATGTACAGGTTTCGCTGCCGAATTGCAAGTCTCTAACGCTACAGATGCCCATTCCTGAATTCAGCTTTCCTGCTATAGCAAATGTGCTAGCAATTACACCAAATTTGAAGAAGCTGGTCATGATTTTTAAGCCATCTGATAGCAGCACCTTCTCAGTATATTCCTTAAACTCTTATTCACAGGTTTAGATATTTCAAAGGATTAACTGGCTCCCTTCCTTTGTCTTCTTGAGTCCATGAATCAGTGAAACTAGTACAATCCTCTGGAAGTTTCTCGACCGTCGCAGCCTATGTATCAAATGCTCCCTCTATAATACTCTGGAAGTTTATGACAGTGTCACAAATTCTTGTCTTTCTTTTTCTTTCTCTTTTTTTTGTGAAGGTCACTGTGATGGTGAGAATGAGAAGATTGCACTTGCATTGATGAACTTGAGTGCCGAAATTTTGGTTTCCCTTGTTTATGATTTCCTCTGATCTGATTACTGTGGGCTAGAGATCTAATTTGACAAGAAATGATCATTCTTTCGGGAGATTAAAACATGAAGGCATGGAAATTAATTCGTGTTTTATTTGGAACATTCACTTTGTCTTTAATCCGTGTGCAGCTTGACATAGACTCCCCCAATGTTAATCATGAGAGCTATTGGCATATAAAGAAGAAGTTCAAGCGTTGGGCTTGGCATCTCAAGAATGTTGAGATTTTTGGATTTTATGCTTGTTTAAGGTTCAGATATGAGGAAGTGCTCATGATGGTAAAGTTTTTGCTCGGACATGCATCTGTGCTGGAAAATATGGTCATCAGAGTTAAAAATCGTAAATCACAAAAAGATCTCGAGGTAGTTGATTCAGGCAAATTGCTCGAAGTGGCCCGATGGCTTCAAAGTTATCACAGAGCTTCTAAGCATGCTGCGGTTATACTCAATTATCTAGAAGAAGTGCACACCAAGTGGAAAAAGAAAGGAGCTAGAGTAACAACAAAATGTTTGCATATTGACCATAAGGATGCCTGATTGGAATAGGTATACTGTAAGCCACAACATCAACTAGCTTGATCTGTTGCTGGTATTGTCTCATGTAAGTTTTTAGTGTTTTAAAGCAAGTTTTGGGATAATATTTGTTTTCGAAATTGTTTTACAAGGTTGAGCAGTGTGTAGCCGTGTCGGTTCCTTCTCTAGCCCTCCATCCTGTAAGAAAGTCCCTATTCACATAAGTAATGTATTGGATCCAGTTATTGATAGACATGGCTTGTAATTAAAATTTTTTTGTAGAATTCCAGTACCGGTGCAATCGATGGTAAGGTATATATGCTTGTGTTTGTTAAGGACCATAGAGGTGTAGACATTATGCTTGATGTCATATTCAACCAAGTAATTAACTATTTTGTTGATAATAAAATGAATACTTTGGGAATCAAATTACCAAATATTATAACAATATTCATATGGTATAATTCCACAATTAAAGTCCAGCACTTAGTTGAGGGTATGTTTAGGCTCAAGCATGTTGCCATTGTTAGTTTTAGTGTTGTTTCTCTTAGTTCGAAACCTGTAGTTGCCGTGTTAAGATTTCTACATGAAAATGCATTCGTGTTGGATAAGATGGCGATCGTTGCCATTGGACCAAAATATGTGAAATGGTGGATTCTTTGAAAACTGCCTGAAGCTGCTCGAGTTGTTCTAAACCTCCGTAGAGCTTCTCAAGATGCTGAAGTTGTTTTTGACTATCCTTTCCACAAAAATCCTTTCTAAATCATGTGTAGATCTTAATTTTTTGTTTGATCTCATGATGTGGTGTTGTTTGTAATCTCTATGTTCTGATAGTGTTCCAGAATTTTGAGGAACAGAATCCACAATCTCTGAGACTCTTTCCGTGCTTTGGCCTTGTGCTAATAGGCCTAGTGCTGTGAAGCCTCTGGAGTTCATAATGTTGAGGTTTGCTCCTTTATTAATCAGGAAGTCAACAGTCTGAAGAGGAGTAACAACAGATGTTACCAATTGGTGTAAGGTTTGAACAAGACAAGCCCATGTTATATATATTTCAAGATTAACTTTGCTCCTAGCGTTTTGCAGTTCTCTAGCGTTTGTGACTATTATTTGATGCCTCCAAAAGGGGAACTCATCCCTTGTTGAATCTCTTCTGTTATCTCTGGTTTTATGTTGCTTCTACTCTAGATAAAATTAGTAAGAATTTAGCGTGAAGTATAAAGTTTTAGTTAATTATCTAGACCAATGAATTCTTTTCCAAATATCATACCATGTGTAATTTGTAAATGGATATCTTTTAGCTTCCGAATATTTCTAGGACATTCATGTTTCCTAAAACCGCCTTTTGTTGTTGATAAGCTCACTAAATTTAAATAGCGCAGAGGCTCGGTTGTATGAACATACCTCAGTTTGTCTATATGCAGCAGCCAAATGCAAAATTGTGTTACCATCTTCGTCCCTCGAGTTGATGAACCGATCATCACCCAAGATATCTCTCAAAAACTTCAAAGCTTCCGGTTTGTTGTGCTTCACGCATAAATGGAGGATCGTCTGGCCATGTTCAACGATATTACGGGCTGCATCAGGTCTCGCTCGAACCAACTGTTCCAACACATCTACATGCCCTTTCATGGCTGCGACGTGAAGAGGGTTTCTTTTGTATTTGTCACAGACGAAACATATCTCAGGGCTGACTCTTAACAAGCTCGCCACTACGTTAAGGTACCCTTTTGCTGCCGCGAGATGAAGAGGGGCCGAACTCTGAGATTCTTGGTACCCTTTTGCTGCCGCGAGATGAAGAGGGGCCGAACTCTCAGATTCTTGCTCTCTTGCCAGCTCGGCCTTCTGAGCTAGGACCTCTTCCACGAAATACAAGTGTCCAAGCATGGCTGCAATGTGTAGAGGAGTCTCGGAGTGATTCCCAGTCATGATTCTGTCGAGCAGCAGCTTATTTATCTATTGCGAGCAACTCAAGCAAAAGAAGGCACATTTCCTTTCACGGCAGCTTGGTAGAGCTCGGACTCCATGTTTGGCTCTCTAAAAAGGGAGTTCCGAATATTCGCTCCTCCATTTGGGGACTTGAATATATATACTCACAACCAAGTCAACCTTCACGGAGGGCTGGACGAAGATCGAAAAAAGATTGATAGATTATTTCTTAACTGCAAGTATGTGGGTCGAGTGTCGCAAATGTCGGAGGATGTTAGAAAAGGTGATGATTCTTGGAGCTTCATCGTGGGTATGTGGGGATGCAGCTGGCGGCCATTTTCTGGCGATTCTCGTCTCCGTGTGGTCCTTATTGCTCCATGTGCGACTGTGTAGTGTATAAAGCAACGTAGAGAGAGAACAGAGAAGAGTACTTTATTGAGTGTTCTTTTCAATTGAGCATCCACTTGATTCTTAAAGATATCCCAGTTTTCTACCCTTGTCCAACATAAAATATCTCCGAAACTAATCATCGCAGTGCAACTTGCTTTGGCTTATCGGAAGAGGCGGCTAGAAAGGGAAAAAGCTGGAGAGAAGGAAAAATATGGAAGAAGGACGAGCGAGAGAGAGAGAAATCTGGAAAATGGAAAAGAGAGAGAGGCAGTTCTTCTCAACATGTCCCCTTGAAGCCTTGAACATCCTGTGATCGCCGCTTCTCTCGCAATGCTTCATTGCGACGATGTTCTTCCCTCAAACCACGACCAGACACTCTACACACAATCTTAGACATGATTGGCTAAGATCAAAGACCATAATCTATCTACACCAGTCCTTTCCTTTTCTTAAGAATATGGACATATATGCACGCGTGAACTTGACTTCCATAGACCAAATGCAAACAGTGTCACCACTAAATGGTCCCCAGGCGCAGCGCCAATTCCCTAAACATATCATGTCGACTTCGAAAGCTCCTGTTATAGTCTTATTTGAGCCTGCATATTACCCTATTCTTCAGCTAAGATCATTCAACTTTAAGGATTGTGTTAGGAAGATGCTTGAAATGAGCAATAGCGTTGTACATGCAGTTACGATTAGTCTCACCGCCAAAATAGTCGCAAATGACTTTGAGCTAGCAAATAATTTAAAGCAAGCAGCAGTGTTGCTACGCATTTGATTGCCCATTTTTGTTCAAACACCAATGTGCTTTTATGCAAAGATTAATTTACTTTGAAGGTACGATCAGCAAAAACAAACTGATTAAGTAACTTCCCAGAAAGAAAGAGAAAGAAAACCAAGTCACGCGACAAAATTAAGTATGTTACCTACTCAGGTCACTTGCTCCACTGCATTCAGAAAACATGAAAATGAATTCTTGAGAAAGTTTCGATTCTCCTTCGCATGACTGATGTAAAAAATTGTTGGCAGTGATCTTTTTATTTGGACATTAAATCTTTAACATTGTTTTTGGTGAAAGCGATAATATTTGTTTGAAAGTCCTTGCCCTAAATTACCCTCATGAGCACAAAACATCTGCTTCGGTCTTAAAGCTTGTTTCTAACTTAGAAAGGGTGATTTTTGGGTCCCATATGAGAATTGGGACCTCTATCCCGTGTGCAAAATTGACCGGCTATAGCTAGTTATTTGTAGTTTACTTTGGTTGTACACAATTTATGAATTCAAAAGATAATTTATCAACTGTAAGATAATTTTTGCTTTTGCAAATATCTACGAACATTAAGGTAATCTAACGATGTTGAAACTAATTTTACGAAACAATATAAAACTAACAAACAACATCTGGCATTTATGATACAAGAAGGCTGTTACTACGATTAGGCTTTGTTAACAATTTACTAAGAATAAGTATAATTAAGATCATCAAGGATTAGCACTCACTCAGTTTACTAATTACAAGGGAAATTACTATTTGAAAGGCACATCATATCTTACAGGGTAACTTTCTATTTTGATATAGTAGAATACTATCTTGAGAGATGTTACTACTTAGAAGGTAAATTAAACATTTTGTAACAGGAGAATACTTACCCTTAGTAATTTCCTTATAACATAGTAAATTACCTCAAACCATCCGTGTGATATATCATTTGTAGTTGACCTAAATCTATGGTGAATCATAAAATTTTATCAAAAATAGAAATATTCCCGTAGACTTCGTAAGTTGGGGATGTTTCAATAGTAGTTATCTAGTAATATTATAATTTTCTTTAATCAGTCATGATTGGCAGTTCATTATTGTTAGTATATTTCCAGTATTAATAGTAAATTCCCTTTATATTTCATAACTCGACAATGGAATTACTAAGTAATTGTCCTACCATGGTGTAAATTTCCTCGACATGTCATAACTTGTAATTCCTGTCCTTAATAATTATGTCTCCAACAATTGTAATTTGCTTGAAATCATCGTGATCTCGATTGTACCTGTAGTTAGTACATTCCTTTTTTGCGTAGTAATTTAATTAAACAGTTCAAAACAAGAATTCCTTTGTGGTAGATTACCGTCTTAAAAGATGTTACTACTTTGATGGCAAGTTATTTATTTTGTAACATGAGAATGCTTACGCCTAGTAATTTCCTTATAACATTACCTCAAGCCATGGCGTGAGATATAATACTTGGTAATTGATCTAAAGCTATGGTAAATTGGTTAAACTCCTCATAATCCGGTTGCACTTTGTTTTTCATAAAATTGTATAAAAATAGTGACATTCATATACACCACTTAAATTAGGGATGTTGTCGCTAGTTATCCAGTAATATTATAATTTTCTTCAATTAGTCAAAATTGGTAGTTCATTTTTTCAGTATTTTTCATAATTAACGGTAACTTCCTTTTATACTTTGTAACTCGCCAGGTCATAACTTGTAGTTCCTGTCCCGTGTCATTATACATACGGAGATTATAATTTGCCTGAAATCGTTAGGATCTCAATTGCACGTCTAATTAGTAATTTTTCTTTTTGTGTGGTAATTGAGTGATACAATTTGAAACAAGAAATTCATATCACTTAGCAATTAACTAATGGGATAATAAGGTACTTGAAATTGTCATAAGAGACACAACTTATAATCAATAATTGACTGTAATAATCGTTAATCATTCGTAAGTCCGTGTAAATGGTAGTTAGTATTCTACCTTTATAGATAGTAAATTACCTCAAGTTATCCAAAACTCGAAGGTCTTAATGATTGTAACTTTTATTGAGAAATCTAAGCAACCTAAAGTTTACTTTCTATTTCCCTATTCTTAGCAAATCTACATAAAATAGTCCTTGTGTTCTTTTTTTTTTTTTTTGCTATAAATATGTGAATATCATTAATTAGATGAATTACAAAAGCTTAGGAGAAACCCCTAGCAATTCAAAGAGACTAATTATGCGAGAAGATGGAAAAAGGAAGCCTCCATACAATAGCCAATAAAACATTTGCCCGGGAAAGCACACAATGTTGGTAGAGTGATGCCCTACCTCTCACAACCTTTCATATCCTAGCCAACAGAAGATGAGCCTCAATCGACTTGTTTTGAAACCGTTTGCAATTGCGTTCCATCCATATGCAGGAGATAGTCGCTAAGAAAGACAGCTTGAGGAGTCTCGCCTCAAATTTTTTGCCCCCAGTAACCCTAATCATCCATACCCTTGTGTTCTTTCCAAACTTGTAATCATTGGATCCTATCAATAAGTAATAATCCTTTTGAGTCGTATTCTAACCACCGCAAATCAAATCTATTCAAACAAACCAACCATCCATTATACATCTAAACTCCATTTTTTACATAGATTCAACACGCATAAAACATTTATTGTTTTCGCTAGCACATACACACATACATACATACTCGAATGCATCGTAGCTAAGTCGTCTAATCGGCACACTGAACAGCACATACTGTATAACATCTCCTCTCGCATGGCCTTAGGGCTCAGGACACTTCTTTTGGGACAAACACATTTGTAGCGATATACAACCACTAAGCTATAAGATCCTCCGGCTTCCGTTTTGTTGAGGCTTTGCGGACGAATTTCAGGACTTTGTGTCCACACTTCATGATTAAGCGAACAACATGGCACAGGAAAAGAAGAGCCATCAATGCAACCCATGCCAGCACCGCATATCCAACTGTATTACTTGTACTATTCAGTTCGCTTTCTGGTGTGAAGACAAATATGGAGATGGCATAAGTGGCTGCCATGAATGTTATTGCAACCCACATAGTCAGCATTGCAATCCACGTAGTGATCCGACGCTGCTTTAGAGGAAGACCACTTATGAGAAGCATAATGACGCTAAGCGATGCGACGAAGCTTATCGTGTTACATGTTATGAACTTCTTGTACGCATCTGAGTACTTAAATGCCATTATAGAGTCGCCCGCAGTATGTGCTGCGATCTTTTCATCACCTGAAACATCGTCTTGCCAAAGGCCACCAGGCGGGGTAATGCTGAGTTGGAATGCCATGGTAGCTAGTAATGTCGCTACCACCATTAGCGTCTCATGCATACTATCTTGCCACTTTCTCTTTCTTTCCCTTTTGTCCTCTTCTCCTACAGGTGGATGGAAGGCGGTGATTGTACTATTTGCGTAGACTGTTGGTCCGAATGGGTCGTGATTCTCTAAAGTTTGAGGAACATAGTCCTTAATCTTTGAGTCTCTTCCCACGCTTTCGCCTTGTGCTAATAGGCCAAGTGCTGTTAAACCTCTGGAGTTCGTAATGTGCGGGTTTATTCCTTTATTAATCAAGAAGGCTATAGTCTGTAGAGGAGCAACAACAGAATTTACCAATTATGCTCAAGTTTGAACTAGACAAGCCTATGCTATATATTTTTTAGGATTAACTTTGGTACCAGTGTTTTCTATCCTGTAGTGTTTGTGACTATTATGTGATGCTCTCAAAAGGGAAACTCATCCCCTTTGGAATCTCTTTTGCCATCTCTGGTTTTATTTTCCCTCTAATCTACATAAAATTAGTATGAAAATAGCGTGTACCATAAAGTTGGCGTTAATTATCTGGACCAATGACTTCTTTTCTAAGTATCATTACATGCAATGATTTTTAAATGGATATCTTTTAGCTTACGAATATTTTTATAACATTCATGCCTTTTTGGTTGATAAGCTCACTGAATCTAACTAGCACAGCGGCTTGGTTGTATGAACATACCTTAGTTTGTCTATCTGCAGCAGCCAAATGCAAAATTGTGTTGCCATCTTCGTCCCTCAAGTTGATGAACTGCTCATCACCCAAGATATCTATCAAAAACTTCAAAGCTTCAAGTCTGTTGTGCTTCACACATAAATGCAGGATTGTCTGGCCATGTTCAATGACACTATGGGCTGCATCAGGTCTCGCTCGAACCAAGAGTTCCAACACATCCACATGCCCCTTCAGGGCCGCGACATGAAGAGGGTTTCTTTCGTATTTATCATGGACGAAACATATTTCAGGGCCGACTCTTAACAAGCTTGCCACTATGTTAAGGTACCCTTTTGCTGCTGCGAGATGAAGAGGCGTCGAACTCTGAGAATCTTGCTCTCTTGCCAGCTCGGGCTTCCGAGCTAGGACCTCTTCCACGAATTCCAAGTGTCCGAGCATGGCTGCAATGTGCAAAGGAGTCTCGGTGTGATTCCCGGTCATGATTCTGTCGAGAAGCAGCTTATCTTTTGCGAGCAACTCAAGCAAAGGAGGCACATTTCCTTTCACGGCGGCTTGGTAGAGCTCGGACTCCATGTTTGGCTCTCTAAAAGGAGAGTTTCGGGATACGCACCCCTCCATTTGGGGACTTGAATATATATACTCACAACCAAGTCAACCTTCACGGTAGGCTCGACGAAGGCCGAAAATTGACTGGTAGATAGTTCCTATCTGCAAGTATGTGGCTCGGTTCACACGCGTGTCCTAGTATGTCACTCACGTAAGGTGATGACTCTTGGAGTTTTACTGGGGGTACGTTGGGACACACCTGGCGGCCATTTTCTGTAGAGTCTCGTCTCCATTTGGTCCCTATATGGGTTAAGTGTCCACATGTAACATGTGTTAAAGAATCGAGTGGATGCTCTATTGAAATGAACACTCAATAGAACACTCTTCTCTGTTCTCTCTCTACGTCGCTTTATACACTACTCACTCGCACATGGAGCACCTTCTCCATTTATAGGATGCAAAGTGGGTGCATCCCACCTTTCTACACTTGTCCAACATAAAATATCTCCAAAACTAATCATCACATTGCAACTAGCTTTGGCTTATCGGAAGAGGCGGCAAGAAAGGGAAAAAGCTAGCGAGGAGGAAAGCTATGGAAGAAGGTAGAGCGAGAGAGAAATCTGGAAAATGGAAGAGAGAGAGAGAGAGGCCGTGCTTCTCAACATGTCCCCTTGAAGCCTTGCACATCCTTCGATCGTCGCTTCTCTTGCAATGCTTCATTGCAACGATGTTCTTCCCTCAAGCCACGACCAGACATTCTACACACAATCTTAGCTATCATGATATGGCTATTGCCGTCAGTAGCCTATCTTTACAAACAAGCCAGCCTATAAAATTATGCTTGTTAATACCACTGGTCCAAAGCAAATGATACTAGTCCACGGCGGTCGATCCCGTCTAAAAGCTCGGACTCCATGTTTGGATCCCTAAAAAGAGAGTTTCGAAATACTGACTCCTCCATTTGGCGACATGAATATACAAATTGACACAACCAAGTCAACCTTCACGGTGGGAGTGATGAAGACCCAAAAACGATCGGTAGATTATCTTTCAAGTGCAAGTCTTGTGGCTCAAATCTCGCAAATGTCTGAGGACGTCAAATGAGCGTGATGATTCTTGGAGCTTTATCGTGGGTATGTGGGGATACTGCTGGCGGCCATTTTCTGGCGAGTCTCGTCTCCACGTGGTCCTATATAGGTCAAGTGGATGCACAATTGAAAGAAAACACTCGATAAAGCACTCTTCTCTGGTGCTTTATTCACTACACGCTCGCAAGTGGAGCACCAGCTCCATTGATAGGATGCAAACTTGGTGCATCCCAGCCTTCTACACTAGTCCAACATAAAATATCTCCGCGACTAATCATCACATTGCAACTTGCTTTGGCTTATCAGAAGCGGCGGCTAGAAAGGGAAAATTCTGGAGAGAAGGAAAAATATGGAAGAACGTAGAGCGAGAGAGAGAAAAATCTGGATAATGGAAGAGAGAGGGCGGTGCTTCTCAACACGTCCCCTTGGAGCCTTGACATCCTTTGATCGTCGCTTCTCTCGCAATGCCTCATCGCGACGATGTTCTTCCCTCAAAGACATTTTACACACAATCTTAGACATGATTGTCTAAGATCAAAGACCATAATCCTCTGTCATAATTTCGCCAAACAATCAGGGATATATCAACACCAGTCCCTTCCTTTTCATACGAATATGGACATATATGAATGCGTGAACTTGACTTACATAGACCAAAGGCAAACAGTGTCACCACCAAATGGTCCCCAGGTGCTTCTCCAATTCCCTAAACACGTCATGTCGACTTTAAAAGCTCGTGCCTGCATATTACGTTATTCTTCAGCTAAGATCATTCAACTTTATGGATTGTGTTAGGGAGATGCTTGAAACGAGCAATAGTGTCGTAAGTGCATTTACGATTAGTCTTTCTGCCAAAATAGTAGCAAATGATTTCGAGCTAGCAAATAATTTAAGCACAATGAGCAAGCAGCAGTCTTGCTACACATTTGATTGACACCAATGTGTTTTTATGCAAAGATTAATTTACTTTGAAGGTATGATCAGCAAAAACAAGATGATCATAAATTGGAGAAGGGAATGTGTTAAGAGAATAGTTGATTTAGCAGGAATTGAGAAGAGAGGAGGGGAAAGAAGGAAGAGAGGTAGGAACAGAATTGTAATTGCTTATTCTTTAGTGTAATTTAATGGCCCTTTAAATAGCCGAGTACATATATGGATATCAATTATAAATGGAAACTAATTATTATAGATAGAAACTAATTGATGGCTATCCTTATTAATACTGATTACTATCCCCGTCACAAATGGAATGCGATTCTCCTTAGCCTTGTTTAGGCATGTTCTTGCGCAGTGAATATACTTGCAATCCTTGGGACGTAACATTCCTTCCCCCATAGAGAGACAACTTGTTCTCAAGTTGAATATTATCCAAGAGGTGCTCATCCTCCCAACTAGAGTCGTCGGGCGCGAGGTCCTGCCACTGAACTAACACTTGTGAGACCGGCTTAGAATCCTTCATAATAACTCGTTGACCCAAAATTGCTAGTGGCTTGTGAATGGGTTGGTGATCAACAATTGCCTCTGGAAGTGGGTGCACTCTAGTGGAGTGTGAAGCCATATACGGTTTGAGTAGTGAACAATGAAAAACTGGGTGTATGCGACTAGAAGCTGGCAAGGAAAGTCGATAAGCCACTTGTCCCACGCGTTACTTCACAGGGAACAGACCATAGTAGCGAAGTCCAAGCTTGTGGGTTGAGTCTTTGCGAGCCGATAGCTGGCGATAAGGATGAAGACGAAGAAGCACCATGTCGCTTGGTTTGAAAGAAATATCAGTGCGGTGCTTATCTGCTTGGGTTTTCATGATCGCCTGCGCTTTGGATAAATTGGCACGTAACTGAGATAAGATTATATCACGTGAGTGCAAGTCATGATCGACTGCTTCGACAGCACTGCTGCCTGCACAATAGGCCAAGAGGAAGGGAGGTTTTCTACCGAATGTCACCTTGAAGGGCGTCATACCTGTAGAAGCCTGGAACGTGGTGTTGTAGTGGTACTCCGCCTAGCTAAGTATCTTGGACCACTTGGAGGGTTGATCATGAACAAATGAACGAAGGAACTGTTCAATGCAGCGATTGACACGCTCCATTTGTCCGTCCAATTGCGGGTGGTAAGCGGATGAGAAATGCAGCTTGGTTCCCTGGAGTTTAAACAACTCCTTCCAAAAGGCACTCTGAAAAATAGGGTCATGGTCGGAAATAATGAAGTGAGGTATGTCGTGTAGCTTTCTCACCGTAGTCCAAAAAACTTGGGCCACCTTGGTGGCAGTGTAATGTGGTGGCAAAGAAGCGAGGTGAGCCCCCTTGGAAAAATGATCAACGACCACTAATATGGCCGTATACCCAACAGATGGTGGTAAATGTGTGATGAAATCCATAGAGAGATCGGTCCATAATGAGTTGGGTGGAGCAATGGGTTGAAGTAACCCGTAGGGTGATGGTTGGTGGGTTTGCACTTTTGGCAAACATTGCATGCTTGGACGAACTTGGCTAAGTCCTTGCGCATGCCATCCCACTGAAAATGCGCAGAGTTACGTTGTAAGGTCCGTTGTACCCCAGAGTGACCACCATGTAAGCTGGAGTGATAATCTGATAGAAGGAAGGGCACAAGGGAGGAGTCCACGGGCAAGGACAAGCGGCCACGGTGACGGAGCAAACCTGATGAGTAAGACCACCCGAGCTGGGATTCAAGTGCACACTGGAGGTCGTCAATGATGCTCTTTGTACGCTGGTTTAGCAGCAACTCGGCACGAAGGGTGTCAAGGTCAGTATTCACGGGATGGGATAATGTCAAAAGTGCGCTCTCCTGGTTATCGTCATCATAAACCCTTGACAGGGCATCTGCCGCTGCGTTTTTCTTGCATAGCTTGTACTCGATAGAGTAGTCAAAGCCGACCAATTTCGAGAGGAACTGCTGTTGTTCTGGTGTTTGGATGGTTTGCTTAAGAAGATGGTGCAGCGGCTTATGATCTGTCCGGATAATGAAGTGAGCGCCGAGCAGATATTGTCACCACTTCTGAACGGCAGACTGTATTGTGAACAACTCACGCACATAAGTTGACTTGCTGCGCATGATGGGAGAAAGTTTGCGACTGTAGAAGGCCAGCGGGTGTTCAGACTGCATCAATACTGCACCAATTCCTACGTCGCTGGCATCAGTTTCCACAACAAAGGGAATGGAAAAATTAGGTAGTGCCAATACCGGGGCATGACTCAAAGCTTCCTTGAGGGAGTTGAAGGCGTGCTCGGCTTGCGCGCACCATGTGAATCCGTTCTTGGTGAGGAGGTCCGTGAGGGGGGTGGCTAACGTTGCGTAGTGGCGGATGAAACGACGATAATAGCCGGTCAACCCTAAGAAGCCGCGAACCTGCTTGGGCGTTGTTGGGAGTGGCCAGCCTCGAACCGCTTCAAGCTTGGCAAGATCAGCGGAGACACCATGCGCTGAAACAATATGTCCAAGAAATTTGACAGTGGGTGTGGCGAAGCTGCACTTCGAGTGTTTGATTGCCAGGTGATGGTGGCGCAGAGTGGCAAATACTTGTTGGAGATGATCAAGATGAAAGGCCAAATCTTTGCTATAAACAAGAATATCGTCGAAGAATGTAACAACGAAACGACGAAGAAACGGTCGGAATACCTCATTCTTTAACGCCTGAAAGGTGGATGGTGTGTTGGTGAGTCCAAAGGATATTACCAGGAATTCGAAGTGGCCGTGGTGAGTCCTGAAGGCTTTTTTGTGAATGTCGGAGGGATCCATCTGAATCTGATGATATCCGGAGCGCAAATCCAATTTGGAGAAAATGATAGCGCCGTGCAATTTGTCCAATAGCTCATCAACCGTTGGAATGGGGAATCGATCACAAAAAGTGGCAGCATTAAGCTCCCTGTAATTGACGCAAAAGCGCCAAGAGCCGTCCTTCTTTTTGACTAGGAGGATCGGCGAACTGAAGGCTGAGTGACTAGGGCGAATGATTCCATCCCGGAAGAGTTCCATGACTAG